TTGTGCTTTATTATGTAAACGCAAACACGGCGAGATTTGTCGCCAATAATGGTAAGTAATGGAATCAATTGTAACTCTTTCACTCTAGACTATGAAGGATGGCCAAGTCTCAAATGGCATAAATAGAAGGAATGTGAAGAAAGTTTTAGTGTCTTGATAGAATTTTATGTGCATGGTATGGGCTTTTGCATGATTGGTAAGTTGATAAAGTCATTTTATCTCTCGGGCAAAACCAATATTCTTCATGAAGAGAAGGTCTTAAATATCATAGACATTGAATTTGAAAGTGAGTGATACTGGGAGAGATTTGACAAGTTTGCTAACAGAGACTAAGTTAAAGGAGAAGGCTGGAATAAAAAGGACTTTATGGAGTACCAATCCAGAAAAGAGTCTAGCAGTCCCATAAAGGGTTGCTGGAATTTTAGATCCATTTGGTAATGTTATAAAATAAAATGCTTTGAATATGAATGATAAAATGAAACTAGACAATGAACAAGTAACATGATTAGTTGCTCCGGTGTCCAAAAACTACATATTGACAGACTCTAATGGATGTTGCAGGAAGTGTGCATTTACCTACAAAGTTTGGATTTGCTATCATGCATTAATTTCAATGAAATTTGAGGTTGTTGTGGTTGGGAAGTTTCATTGGGACGAGGTGAGGTTGGCGATGGAGGTGGACTCATATGTGAGAAAAACTTCTGAAATCTGCTAAGGTCATCAAGAGATAACCTTACATTAGTATTATCCATTCCCACTCAATAGCACATTTCTAAGCTCTGGCAAAGGTAAGATGCCACTAGCGTCTTGCTCAACCCCATATATATTCCCAACAAACCCAGATGAACCCCCAAATTTCTTATTCTTCTTCTTCAACTTATAACAATCAGGGATTACATGACTACCTTTCTTACAATATCTGTAGATGAGATTTCCCTTTAAAGAATCTCCCCTATTGGACTGCTTAGCAGCATACAAAGAAACTGAATCGACTTGAGATGATTCTTGAGTAGGCTATGCAATCTGCCTCTCATGCTGAATAACATAATTAAATAGAGTTTCCATGGATGGTAAAAGATGCAACATAAGCAAGTTGGTCCTCACACCTCTATATGGACCTTAAAATAAGTAATGAATCGAGTAACAAAATTCATTTTCTATATACTTCTTAATAGTAGTCTCACCTATGATTGTTCACAAACATAGTTGGGTATTGACAAAAATTACATTAACTCTTCCCAATAGTCTTTTAACTTAGAATAGTAGTGATTCACATATTTGTTACCTTTAACGGTAGAAATTGCAGTATGCAAACCACTGATTTGGATGTTGTCTACTTGACCAAAATGCTGCTTCAGATCTTCGCACATAAGTCAAGCATCATCCTATGATGAAACACTATCAACCAGACTTGGATCCAAAGAGTTGAGAATGAGTAAATACACAGAGTTATTACTTTGCTCCCAAGCTGGAGAATTCACATCAAGGAGATTTGGAGTAGAAATTGACTCAGTGATAAAACCGAGCTTCTTCCTGATTTTGAAAGTTACACGAACGGTTCTGCTCCAGAGATTTGTTAGGTTTCTGCTCCAACACACTCTGTTTCTCCTCTGTTTTGCTCTATTCTTGTGTTCGCTTCTCCCCCCTCGATTCCACACTACGTGTATCCAATATCTCCCAAATTTCCACCCAGAGTTTCGTTTTATTTCTTCCCAATAATAAGGGCTGGTCTAATCTTGTGCTCAAAACTAAATAAAAAGTGACATTGTAGGCGGGTAATGATAACATTTGGAAAATTGATGAGGCCACCATTTAATTTAAGAGTTGCTGCATTTTCTATAGCTTTCATGCGGTTCTGGTTTCATGTTGTCTGCAGGTTTATTTGGTCTAATTATTGTTTTGGTGGGAGAAATAAGTTTACAGTTTCATGTTTTTGCATCTGATACATGATCATTCCAGCTCATGCAAGGCCGTACCAAGGAATTTGGGTTGTTAGTCATGCTTATAGGAATTTGGTGGAGGTTAGAAATGGATTCCACTTTGCGGTCATACATGCGGAACCGCAACAAATCGCTAATTTATGCGGTTTGGTTAGACCGCACCAATTAATTTGCGGTTTTACATGCGGTGCGGTCCGAAACTTTACGGTGCGGTGCGGTGTATATCAACTTGGTGCGGTGCAATTTGAACCGCACCAATGCCCACCCCTAATGATGGGCCACAAACTTGGCACCCACCCACCCGAACATTTGACATTGGGCTGTTTCAAATTGGAACCCAAGCCTACTAGACCATGTGCTGCTATTTATTTGCAACCCTTAATACAAATTGGAGACCGACCTAGCTAGTTGATTGACACCGGCGTATCTCTCTCTCTCTCTCTCTCTCTCTCTATATATATATATATTGTTCAGAGGTTTCTTGGAGGGCGGGCAACCGGGCACATGCCAATTTTTTAAGGGCGGCAGCACAATTGGAAGTCGCAACTGGCTAGCTAGGGTTTATGGGAATCTCTCTTTCACCGTCGCATAATAATCAATTTTTTAGTCCCTGTGATCCTCCTGCAAACATGCTTTGCTTTGCTTGGAGACGTTAATTAAGTTGGAAAGTATTGGGTGGGAAACTGTTTGTACAAAGCATTAGTTAGTAAATGACTGAGAGAGGGTGTTGCAGTGTATGGTGCCGAAGCTTTTTCCATGGTAAAAGGGAGGAATTGTCTGATAATCATAAATAATAATAATAATAATAATAAGCAACTTTGTTGCTTTGCCGTAAATCAAGCAACAATCATCTCCCGTTTGTCCCTTCCACATGAATGGCAGCACAATTTCAATTTATTTGCCCTCTTTCCAGCCCAGTCCCACTTTTCCCGATTGTCATTTGTCATAGAGAAAGGAAAATTGACATAATTCATCCCATGGCTTGTATTGCATACAAGGTTCAAAAAGGCGCTAGGCGTAAGGCGAGCGTTGAGCCTTTGCCTAGCGCCTAGCTCGCTTAGGCGTAGACTAAGCGTGTCTAGGCGTTGGAAGAAAAATAGATATTTGCACAACATGATGAATGAAATAATAATCTACAACACTTTCTCACTTCAGTTAAAATGATTAATAACTTACTCAACACTGAATGTCAAGAACATAGCTCACGAATTCATAGAATCATAGCTCAATAGCTCACAAAGTTCTTAAGATATTGATATAGAAAATTGATTTCGTAGTGGATGTTAAGTTTCTCCTTTGATATTGACTTCCTAGCTCCATCTCCTAATGATTTGGAGAGACTTTTATGTCGCCTTATTCCATTGACGTGTTCTAGTATCTAATTAGGCACAAAATCCCTAGGCGAGGCGTTTTGCTATTGCCTTGCGCATAGGCGTGTCTAAGCGTAAGGTTAAGCGTGCCTTTTTGAACCATGATTGCATATATATGGTACGTTGGAATTTGGAAAAAATATAGTATGGACTATGGACTAAGATAGCTTATAATGTTGCATTGCATCTGGCTCCCCTTCCCATTTGGGATAGGGTAGCGTAGCTGACGACAATGGTGTAAGTGATCAAAAACATATCCAGTATGATTTGGCGGGCAATGATGGATCGATCGTTATCTGCAACGTTATTGATTTCAAGAAAGATGTGATTTGCATTGTACGACTTTGAAAGAGTAATATTAGAGTATGTCGATGAGGTCGCTTCCAAATATGTGCAGGGAAACAGTGGAAGGTAGAGTAGTCAGTAGAGTAGACATGAGAACTGAGAAGCTAGACAGTTATGAATATGATGAATTTGTGTAGAGCTTACCCTTCTAGTAGTCCAACTCCAAGGTCCATGGGCATATAAGCAGAGAAATATGTGACATGGAATGAATGGCTTGGAAAAGAAAAGAACGTGGGCTTTTAATAGTGTCTTCTTGTGTCCAACACAATCATTCCGGGCTTGGGCCATAGGCCCATGGAACATGCTCTCAAGTCTCAAGACCCGATAGAACTCGAATTATTATTATTATTATTATAAGCAACTCAGATAGTGATGGGTGATGGCAAAGGGGTGGGGTGGGGTGGGCAGATATTTCAATGTCTATACTCGTTTTGTACTAAGCGTGTGTCAAGTGAGTTAATACTCATGCAGGTGAAGGTCGACGCATTTTTATATGTTATTTAAAAAAATGTTAATATCTAATTATTTTACTAGAACCCATAGGGAAACACTTTATAAATGAACAAGAAATATAGTAAAAGTAATAATTGAGAAAATAGTTAAAAGATAGAGCCTTAAAATTTCTTTGGGATGATAATATGATTTTAGAAAGATCAAAAGAGGGAAATACACGTAGACATTGATGCAACATCATGATAAAACGGGTCGAGAAGACGAGAACTATCCAAAATGAGGCAAACCAGAAGTAACACCCATGCTATACCCCATGCCACTGTGAGTCGGATAACACTCGCTCCAAACAGATCGGGTCAGCACGAATCACGTGAATCTGGTCAGGAATTGACATATCGAATTGTATTTTTATTTATTTACGTTGGGGACTTTGTCATTTACAGGATTGTTTACCATTGTTAACCAAAAGACATACCCATTTGTTCATCCAATACGAAATTCTGCATATATTGCAAACGGACAACCAAACCATGCCATCACAACTGAGCACTCCTTTCCCCTTTTTCTGCAGATGATCATAGGAAAAAAGTCCACCCAATTTTCAGAAAAATACACTAGTCCATTGTTCATCCAAATCAAATTTCTGCACATTTTGCCAAGGCGCCAAACCATGGAAAATCTAATCAATTTGAAATTTGTCATTACCAAAGAAATGGACAAAGCAAAGTTTTGCTTTCATTTAGGGTGGATTCATATATTGAATTAGATATGCGTGAATATCAGAATGTCTAGTATCTATTGATAGCGTAGACTGATGCATTTGTTGGATTTGTATAACTCTCTATCGTTCCAATTTTAATTTATACAAACTGCATCAGATATCAAATTTATATCGTACATAGTTCATGTACATGAAATCATCTACATAAAATGAATGGTGGGATAGTTTTTCCCTCACATATCTTAAAAAGGAACTAAATCATAAAAACAATAATCCAGATTTAAAATTCTAAACTAGTTCATAGCAACTTAATTAGAAATAGATTGTTAATTAATAATCTACCATTAAAACGAAACAGCCCATGCTATCAATAATAACAAGTCATTTCCTGTTTCTATCCCATGGGATACAGAGCTCACCAAATAACGCTAACATGGACGAAGAAGCAACCAAACATCACGAGGAAAGAAGAAACACACTTCTCGTCCTCCTAAACTGCTCGCTACTCGCCGTCGGCGCAGTTGGCGGCCAACTCCTCTCCAGAATGTACTTCCTCCACGGCGGCCACAAGCGGTGGCTCTCCGCTTTCACGGTAACCGCCGGCTTCCCAATCCTAATCCTCCCCATGGCCGTCTCCTACAAACGCCGCCGTTTCCTCATCACTACCCGGCTCGCCGCCGCGAGTGGGCTTTTGGGCCTCCTGTTGGGCTTCAACAGTTACCTCTACTCCTTCGGCACCGCCTACCTCCCCGTCTCCGTCGCTTCCCTCGTCGGCTCTTCCCAGCTGGCATTCACCGCCGCCTTCGCTTTCCTCATAGTGAAGCAGCGGTTCAACCACTACACCGTGAACGCCGTCGTTTTGATGACGCTGGGCTCGGCGGTCCTCGGATTCCACATGGACGGCGACATCCCCAAGGGGGAATCAAAGGGTAAATACGCATTGGGCTTCTTCATGACCATTGCCGCCTCTGCCACGCATGCTCTGTTCATGACTCTGCTTCAGTATACTCAGGGGAAGGCTCGTGTCCCCGTCGATTACGACGTCGTGTTGCAGGTTCAGCTCGTCATATCCATGGTTGCTACTCTATTCTGCGCCGTCCCCATGATCATCAATGGTGACTTTCAGGTAGACTGCTGTCCATTGTGACACAATCAAATTTTGTTGTCTCCTTCTCTTTTTTTTTTTTTTTCCTAGTAGATTTTGTTATGCCATGGTGAATTTGTGTCCTGCAGAATCTAGCCAGGGAAGCAGCAGAATTCGGCCTCGGGGAGAAGAAGTACTACATGATTGTAGTTCTAGCAGCCATTGGACTTCAGGTTATGATAATTGGGAGCCTTGGATTGGTTCTGTGTTCTTCGTCCCTAGTGGCTGGCATCGTCACCAGTCTTCTAGTCCCGGTTCGACAAGTCTCCGCCGTGATTTTCTTGCGTGAAGGGTTTAACGCCGAGAAGGGAATGGCGTTGGCGTTGTGCCTCTGGGGATTTGCGTCTCACTTATACGGGCGATTCAAGGCAGGGTTGGAAAAGCAAGATACAGATGATCGAAATCCGCAGCAATTTGAGCAGGGAAACGGTAATAATCTTGCTTAGGAAAATAGAATTTGGACAGTAGATTGTATAACGATTTTGTCGATATAACAGAACAATATTGAGGTGGTTCTTCTGTTACATTTGAAGTTGAAGATAGTTGGCCAATGAGCTGAATAATCAAACCTCAGTTTCTGGGGAGGTATATATATATGCAGGTAATAGTACAACAATTAGCTAGCTGCTTTTAGCCACTAAAATCCATAACAAGAAGTTAATCACAATTGGTCTAGTGGGTAAGGGCGAATGAAAGCAGAGTTCATCTCCCAAATCTTGAGCTTCACCTTCACGTTGGCATCCGTGGCATTGTTAAACAAGAAGAGCCTGGCGTCTCCATAGATGGCCTTGGTTGGATAAACTCTGGACGAGATCACTCTCCTCCCTCCCTGCCCGAAGCTCTCCACGATCGAATGATCCACCAACACTCTCATCTGCAGCTTCTCGTCGCCCACCACCGGAATCGAGCTTCCGTACACGACCTTGAACACGTCCGGAGCCAAAGATGACCTGTGTAGCGAAGCAAGGAAACAGAGCGTAACAATTCGTCGACGAGGAATCAAATCCTTCCGTTGGTGTACAGAAATGCGACTTTTAAGTCTATAATGGATCAAATGTGAATTTACGAAACCTGGTTTGGTCGGTACAGAAGTAAGTTGTGACAGCGTCAGCGGTAGTTTGAACTGGCCGGAAGAAAACAGAGGTGAGCTCCGACAGAGACGCATCCGCCAGAGCTAGAATCCCGAACGGTCCCAAGCTGCTTCTCTCCACTGCTCCACCGTCACAACTGTTCTCCTCGCCGGTTTTCTTCCCTGATATCAGCTCAACTTCAAATTCCGCCATTATATCCAGCTGCAATGGAATCAAATTCTTCAATTAACGAACAAAACGGCGAAATCCATTAATCATTATGCAGTGCAACAAAATCAAACCTGCGTTACAGAGCCTATGTGTAGCGGGACGACAGAACCAGGACCAACCAAAACGTCCTCAAAACAGTAACTCCTCAGCCTCAAGCTCTCAATCTCCTCCACCGGCCACTGCAGCAAATCCGCTCCCGTCCTGCTATCCAGCACCACCGTCCTCGGAATCGTCTGCAATTTCACCACATCCAATTCAGTTCCCTGCATCTAAATCAACCTAACTTGGTTAAATCTGAAAAGGGTAAAATTTAATTACCTGGAGGGAAGCCCAGCCCTTTTTGAGGTCATCGAATTCAGTATCAGTCTCATTAATCCAACCCCACAGTATCCTCCTCTGCTTCTCCTGATCATAAAACGTCTTGGAAGCATAGTACCTTCCGTAATCGTACTTCAACCCGATTCCCACGTCCTTCTTCGGGTCATCGGGCGTCCACAAATCCTCCACCGGATCGTACGTCCCAACGGCGAAATGATCCAGCTTCGTATCGTCCAAGCTCGCCTTCAGCACATGCTTGATCCCTTCCCCGGCCGCCGACGTGTCGAGCCCCTTCGTCCCGTTGACCGCCACCGGGAAAAAGTCCACGCACTCCCACATACCCGTACCCGGAACCGAGTGCAGGTAATGATCCAGCAGCTCGTAGCTCAGAAAATCCTTGGTCTTGTAAACCAGCGTGAGGCCCAACTTCTCGACCCTGGACCCAATCGCGACCCGCCACAGCCCATCCGAGCCCAGCCACGCGGTGGTCGGGTCACGGAAATCCTTCGGCCCAATACCGGGAGGCGGGAGCAGGACCGGGTTGGCCGGGTTCTTCGCCCAGTGGAGCAAGAGCGGGTCGGACGGGTCGGCTGGGTGGGCGAGGTTTTGGACCTGGGTGAGATTCCCTGTGCTGCCGGTGTAGAGCATGTAGATGTTGCCGTCCGGATGACGGGTGGCGGAACCCGTCCAGACGCCGTTAACGTCGTACCAGCGATCGGGGACGAGGGCCAACGGAAGGAGAAGCCAGTGGATCAAATCGCGGGAGACGGCGTGACCCCACGTGATGTTGCCCCAGACGGCGGAGTCCGGGTTGTATTGGTAGAAGATGTGGTACCATCCTTTGTGATACAATGGGCCTGTGTATCCAGTCCAGCCCAACACAACCCAAACCCACAAAAGCCCAAACCAATTTCAGATATCGCGCGAATTAAAGAAAAAAAGGGAACAAAAAAAAAACAGAGTACGGGGAGGTACGTACCGTCAGGATCTGGAGAAGGATACCCAACCATTCAATCGCAGCCGTCGAATCAACCAGCACAAGACGACAAAAAGCAATTGATATCAGTACAGTTCAATCCCCACAGGGAACAGCAACCTCTCACAAATAATTGACCAATAGCAGAGTTTCTTCTTCTTCTTCCTTCCGTCCCTTTCTTTTGGAGCTAATGAAAGTGGGAATGGAGAAACAGAGACACCTACCGTTCATCCAATTACGCTGTGGCTGGAAGTGGTAGGCAGTTCTCTGCCAGTTGAACATGGCGTTGGTCCAGTTGTACGAAACCCTTTCTTCTTCTCCCACGAATCCCGGGCTCGACTTCGCCGACACCCCTTCCCTGACTCCCCTCGCCGGCGGCGTTCGGTGGTGGTCAACTCCAGGGGAGATGGGTAGGGACCGCTGGCTCCGGTGGCCGGTCAATGTTAGGAGACCCACGGAGAAAATGAGTAGAGAAGAGAGCATGAGGCCGCATTGCTGCCGGCGGGTTGCAGGAGGAAGCGGGTCGAGCAGAGGAGTGTCGACCGCCATTTGAGAAAGAGGGAGAAAAGAGAAGATAGGGTTTAAGAAAAGTGGGTATGGATTAATGGTGGGTGGGTCGAATGCGGCTGTGGATCTCGTTTCCATCTGGCTCTGGGGGTTTAAATTGGGTGGAGGAAAGGCTAGAAATTTCATGGGGATGGTGGTGGGGGGAAATGGGGCCGTGGACTGAGTTGGATTTGTCAGTATTTTTTCTTTTTCTTCCTTTCAGTCCAACTGCTACCAAACAAGAGGAGGAAAGAATGGGTAGTAACTAGTAACAAAGAGAAACAGAAGTTGTGGTTGAAGATATTAATCAAATCACAAACTGTAACTCTCGACTGAATCAAATCAAGTCACTTTGATTGTGATTTCCCCGGCCTGGTTATCGATTTCCTGCCTTATCCAGGTGGTGTTGGGATCTAAACCAGAGAAACAATATTGAAATTGGATTTTTCTTCGTTGATTGAAACTGTTGGGTCATGTGTGAAAATAGATTACTTCTACTGTTGGGGCACCGTAAATGAAAATGTTAATGTGTAGCAGGTTCGAGAATGGGGGTTGATTTACTTTACTGTAGCAGCGTTGAGAATGTGAGTGATTAGGTGGCAGCGGTGTCACGTTTGGTAGAGTTTTTTTTTCCCCCCCAAATCTTCTCGTCAACCAACGTGAAAATACAAACATATAATTAGTAGTAGTTCCGTCAGCATAACCAAAAGCGGGAAGCGGAGATCTTCAGTTTATTGATACTTTATACGCTAATCGTTTATTAACAACTACTTAATTAAGGTGCTAATTTGGGATAAGCACTTTCTCGATTGGCTGCTTCCGTGGCTGGATCCTCGATCTCCGTGTGACGGGGCAAACTTGGCTTTTTGGACTTGGACAGCCGGTTTCCGGGTCAAATCTCCGGATAGGTAAACTCACCTGAATCACACACGTAACACATTCGTTTTATATACGGTATTCCTCTTTTTATTGGTAGGTAATTTGTGTTAGTAAATTGTATATGATTTACGATTGAACATCTCCCAATTATTCGAGTTATTGGGATTAATTGATTTTCGATATGGAATTAGAGCATTCTGTGACCGAGAAGTTTGTTGTTCGAATCTCGATGGCCTTATTTGTTTCTGTTACGCGCATAGTATCCGGACTTCACAAACTTCAAGTCCATATATAGTATATGACCAACGATTGAACTTCTACCAACAACTCGAGTTATTGGAATCAACAAGTTTCTAGACAATTTCTATCGATGGAATTCACAATTCCAGTTCTGGATGCAAGTTGGGATGTTGGATTTTTGTTTTATTTTTTTTTTCCGTCAATGTCGTGTCTTTGCTCCTTGGAGCTTCTTCAGAGTTGTCCAAATAGTGCCTTGACAGACTCTTTCATCGATAGTCTGGTTGCATACAGACTAACCCATAAGGTTTGATTCGGTCTTGTGTTTGAGTCTAGTCTCATTGGGCTTGTCTTGGGAAGAAAAAAAAAACTAAGTACAGAAGCTATTATAAACACGTAACAGTTATGGATACGTGGTTTGATTCTCTATCGTTGCTGCACTTTAAATATGACGTAGCCTGATCTTAAATCTTAATCATTTTTACCTCTGCTCGCCCATCTGATAGTTATCGAACCACAATAAATCTCTCAACTTGGAGCATGGCCAGCAAGCCTTTCAAGTATCACGCCGGAGAGTCGCATCGCGAACGGGAGTTTTGTGCCGGCGGCACATTACTCCATAACCGTCGGTGCATGATGATAATATAAACAAATATTGTATAAATTCCCACGATAGAGCTTTAGTTAGTTGCGAATTATTGGACTCGTGGATAGAATTTGGGTCACATATTTCAGGGAGCAACAATGCCCACAAAATTGTAGGGGGCAGAAATGTCCACACCACAATTACCTGTTTTTTCTTTTAGATTGAGAAAAAATGTTTGATTATTTTGTCTACGATTAGAAGAATAGTTTTATGACCCGTAATATGTATTCTCCTCAAATTAGTAGTATTTGTTCTCTCCTTCTGTCCGCGGACCATGGATTAGCGAGCCTAGCACACATTGTCTTAATGTAACCCATTAAATTTGAGTTAGTTTACATTCATAGCATTATCAATTGTCTGCATCTATTATCGATTGTACACCACACACTTTATTGTTTGGGAAAGATTGTTATGAAAAAATCAAGTGCCATATTGAGAATGCAAGGGAAATGACCCATGTAAACACGTGTTCACCAAAACTCCATTAGTAAGAGGCCTTTACTGCTTTCCGGAGCATACTCTGTTCACTCTTTGGTTAGTCCACCAATTCCTTAGTTATACATATGCATTGATGACTTGGAAGTGATGGAATGTGACGCAATCGGAAAACCCAAAGAACTCGCAAGCGCCGAGCTCCTCAAACAAAACAAGCTTGCAAGTCGCAAGCTTAAGGACAAACCCAGAAATCCACTGGGAAGAAAACCCTTAGGTTTACTTGATAATCAAAAGCCAAAAGTTGAGTTCTTACACATGAACAGAGGGTCCTTACATATTAAAACCCACTAGCAATCGAAACCTATAATGACACTAAATAATAATAACTCTTAACCGAAACCTATTAGGAAAACCAAATATAATAATGAAAACCGAAACCTATTAGGAAAACTAAATATAATAATGAAACAAATAAACATAAGCATCATCGTCATGCAGCATCACGTCTTCCGTCCCACCTTCCATACGAATAGCTTCATCAAGCTTGGCCTCCATCTGCGTTGCATCAGAATGCAAGTGACAAGAGGAGGAGGAAGAAAGAAGAGGACAATATGGGACCATAACCTATGGTGTCTAATCCTGATCATATACAGTCCTTAACCAATTTGATTTTGCCACGGGAAAACTGTAGTGTCGCTTCATTTTTATTTCAAGCACCCTCTAACGCTACACACAAGTACGGTGGTCGATTAACATACGTGATAACGACGGCAATGATTGCAACTTGCAAGTACAGGCAACTTTCTGTGGCGTGGATATCAGCTCGTGTTTCATGCTTCTAATGTAACCATTTTCACAGTGTACATTAAATTATTGAAGAGGGATCTAATCAAATAAAGTTTATTTCAACGATTGTCATGCTGATCCTAATTGTTAGAATATGACTTGAATTTGATTTGGGTTTGTTTTGTGTTTTGGGCCTATTTTGTTTGGGTTTGTGTTTGGGCTTTGTTTGACATTTTCCTTGTATGTTTGGGAAAAAGTGTTTGGTTTTCTGTTTGGGATTAGGAGAAGAGTTCTATAAATACTCTTCATCACCCTAGTCTGTAAGGGTCAGTCAGGTTAATTTGTTTGGTTTGTCCGTTTGGAATTTGGTTTGTAACCTGTACTCCCCTCAAATCAGTGATAGCAGCCATTCTTACTCCACAAATCAAAACTTCAGTCCAACGCCTAATTCCCAAAACCGCAACCAAAGGCTCTGATACCACTTGTCAAACCGGGGTGCTCAATTAGTACGATATTGTCCGCTTTGGGCCAAGCCCACACGGTTTTACTCTTGGGTGTCCTCCCCAAAAGGCCTCGTACTAATTGGGCTAGGTGGACACTTATATACAAGGGTTCCTTCCCTTGTATTTCCGATGTGGTACTTGGATTGTCCCATAACAATCCTCCCCTCAAGCCAAGGACCACGAACTTCGTGTCCTCACCTCAACGATTAACTTGATCCGCCAGACACCTTGTACGATGGGCTTCTCGTACAAGGATTTTCCCAAACGCAGAACTCTCTTTGATCCGCCAAATAGACGCGAATCACAAATCCTGAGGCCACCGAATGAGGGTCCACCAAACTGACGTCCACCGCCCCGGATCTGCTGAACCAGGCTCTGATACCACTTGTCAGAACAGAAGCGTGGCAATCGATAATCCAAACCAACACGAACGAACACAAATTTAACGTGGTTCACTAACACAATGTGTGCTAGCTAATCCACGGACAGAGGGAACAAATTTCACTGATTTGAGGAGAGTACAGGTTACAAACCAAATTCCAAACGGACAAACCAAACAAATTAACTTGACTGACCCTTACAGACTAGGGTGATGAAGAGTATTTATAGAACTCTTCTCCTAATCCCAAACAGAAAACCAAACACCTTTTCCCAAACATACAAGGAAAAGGTCAAACAAAGCCCAAACACAAACCCAAACAAAATAGGCCCAAAATACAAAACAAACCCAAATCAAATTCAAGTCATATTCTAACAATCTCCACCTTGACTTGAATTCTCTCTCAAATACCAGATGTACCAGAAGCAACCAAAGTTGCCAGATGTACCAAACGCAACCAAAGTTGCCAGATGTACCCAGACGCGATACAATATCGCCAGACGTATCCAAATACGATCGAAACCGCCAAAATCAAACGCGATGCAAAATCGCCAAACTCAGATGCAATCAAAATTGCCAGACATACCAAATGTGATCCATATCACCAGACTCAAATGCGATGTATATCGCCAAACTCAAATGCAATAAAAATTGCCAAAAGTACCAAACTCCTCCAAATCAGTTGTACCAGAATCTCCCCTGCCTCCAGATGCCCCTAAGGGCGGTCAACAAATCAAAACATGCAGCAAGTCCAACCCATGTTGGGACTTGCCATGCAGAACCAGCTTGGTGTTATTTCCGTCCATAACACCAACATCAAATTTACTGCTAACTCCAAGCCTGCAACTCCAAAATGACTTCTCGATCTTCAAACTGATAGCAACCATTCTTACTCCACAAATCAAAACTTCAGTCCAACGCCTAATTCCCAAAACCGCAACCAAAGGCTCTGATACCACTTGTCAAACCGGGGTGCTCAATTAGTACGATATTGTCCGCTTTGGGCCAAGCCCGCACGGTTTTACTCTTGGGTGTCCTCCCCAAAAGGCCTCGTACTAATTGGGCTAGGTGGACACTTATATACAAGGGTTCCTTCCCTTGTATTTCCGATGTGGTACTTGGATTGTCCCATAACACTAATTAGTAATTACGTTATTGCTTTCGAAAACATTCAATTTAATATGTTGTGGGATTCTGAAAGAATTCGTGATTGATGTGGTTTTTCTCGTTTATTGTATGAAAAATATGCAAGCACAGATAAAACGACACACGATGTTTTACGTGGTATCCCCGATATGATGATCAGGACTAGTCCACGGGAGAGATCAGCCTCTCCGGCTCTTGCTCTTATTGATTATCAATTCAATATATCTGGTCGTGAGACCTTACAGTCACACACACACATATATATATATATATATATATATCCTACAGGAGAGGGGTAACCTAGCCAAACTACTTAAGTTAAACTTCCCAATCCTATTTGATACAGAAGAGTCACTCGAGCAGGCCATATTGGCCGTGGGCTGCTGCTGCCCATGTGGGGCTAGGCCCAATACGCCCCCAGAAGCTGGACGGTGCAGGTCTCGAACGCTCAGCTTGGACAAGAGAAAAGCAAACCGATCAGCTCCTAGTCCTTCGGGAAGTGAAGATGTCGGCGACCTGGAGATGTGAACTGACCTTGAAAGGAGCGATATCACCAGAAACGACACGTTCACGAACAAAATAACAACCCATCTCCACATGTTTGGTGCGCTCATGAAAAACCGGATTGGCAGCGATGTGGAGAGCAACCTGATTATCACACCGTAGTGGAGTGGCTTGTGATTGAGGAACACCAAACTCACTAAG